TTATGATTAATTTTTCACAATTGATTTCATAACCATTTACAGTTACCATTTTTACATCATCACAGATATATGTAAAACTAACGTTTCTAGTTTTATTTAAAGTTTTCATATTAAATTTGTAAATATTTAAAGTTAGTATCTCTGGATCAATCGATTTTTGCATATTTTTTATTTAGAATTTCAAAATTTAGTTTTTGGACTGAAGTCAATATTTATAGTTAAATTTATTTAAATTTTCGAAACCTTAAAAATATTATACATAAATTATTAAAGATAATCAATTAAATTTTATTTACTATAGTATTTATATAAAATAAATAGAAGTTTTGGTATTAAACTTAAAATTATTTATAATGAATTTAAAATTAAGAAAAATTTATGTTCCTTTAATAATATTACATCAAGTCAAACTAGTTATTATCGAATATATAGTTCAAATATTGGTTCGATAATTTCTGATAAACCAATTTATAACGAAGAAATGGATCTTGATTAATTTTTTTTTAATTTATTGTTTTATATTTATATAGTTATTTGAGATTTTCCTATGAAAGGTTTTTTCTCTCGAATAATTATGTAAATATAATTATTTTTTTTTTTTATGTTGTATTTTAACTATAATTTATTAAATTCATATAAAAGCTTATAAACTTATTTAAATTTCTATACATAAATTTTAAATATATACTAACCAATATTTCATAAATTTAATCTTAATTCATAAAATAAATATAAATAAACTTGGTAATAAAATATTAATCATGTTCCTGAGATTTATACTCTCCAAATTTTTCATAATTATTAAAGACAGTAAGAAAATGATTAATTTCATTCGAGGAACCTTCATAATTTTCAAAAACATTTTCACTTTTTATTTCGTTTTTAACTAAAATATTATTTCCTTGTAAATATTTAATCTGATCCATTAAAAAAACATTATATTTTTTCAAATTATCATTATCTTCCTGTTTTTTTCCAACCAAAGAATTCTTCATTTCTATTTCCATCTTTAATAAATTAATATCTCCTTGAAGTTTTTTAATTTCCGTTTTTGAAATATTAATATCATTTTGAATCTTATGTTCCAATTTACTAATATCTGTTTGAAGCTTAATAATATAAGATTCTTTACGTTGAATTTCAAGTTCTCGATCTTCCAGCTTATTTTCGTTCATGTTTAAAGCTGTAATCAATCTGGTATTTTCGTTTTGTAGATTTTTCTGACGTACAAATAGTTCACGAGTATAAAATTTTAATCTTTGAAGATTATTCGTATTCATCAAAGATTCGAATTCACTAAGGTTTATGTTATCAAAAAAATTAGACATTTTTGATAACAATCAAAACTTTTCTAAAAATCATTCTATTTATATTTAATAAATTACACAAAAAACCTACCTTAAAAATTTTTGTAACATTAAACAATTATTAATTCGGAAATCAATATCCAACTTTTAAATAACCAATTAAAATTAAAAAAAATGATTATGGCGATGTAAAATTAACGTG